TATATATTTTGATTTATATTCTAGAAAGATAAATCAATCGGTCATGGTCACGTTATAATAAAACTCATTTTTTGCTAAAGTTTCGTTTTATCATCCACGATAGAGATTAATTGAAAATGGTTACGGTGGCAGATTTAATGAATCAGTGGCCAAATGAAAATTATACGGCATGGACTTGAAATTTCGCAAGATTCTACTTTAAAAAAAAAAGTGAAACACCAGACGTTTCTTTTCTATTTCTCAATGTCATCGTGAATAATCGACAAATCACACGTTCGGCGAAAGAAACCGGCGCAATCGAGAAAAGCTGGTTGGAATGACGTTGCGCTTTCTTACGAAATTACGCGATCTAACGTAATCAGCTCGCGTAATAATAAACAGTAGCGGTCGGATTAAAACAACCGACGCAGTCGGAGAAAAGACGATTAATAACTTCCTTACAAAATTACAAAAATTATTATTCATCCAAGCGTCTCTAATAAACAATTAACGTGATCGTGTAAATCAAATCTAGATATTTATTGTCTTATCGAGAAAATATACCTTACAAATTACGCGCAAATTATCACGAATACTGAGACGATATTCACATGTAAAATACTGTTCTTGTTAAGTCTCTCAAATACTTAAATAAAGAACGCAGTCCCGGAGACATGATCACGCGCTGTCACCCCATGGATACCGTGGATACTTTGCACGGTGATTTCTTTCGTACACACCTTCGTCATCTCCCGCTGTTGTCGTTTAGTCCATTTACACACGTTACGCGAGTAATTTCTGCTTATCGAAAGTTAATTATTTATTTCTTCAGATGTCAAAGGTCCGTAAAGGAACTGAAACTTCAGAAATGGAGATTGATCCGTAGTAATGCGTTGGCGATGGATCACGGCTGAGAGATCAATTAAATGCGTGTGTGTGTACGTGTGTATATATATGTCAGTATGTATATCCCTTTTAATTGCTCTACTTCCTCCTTTCTTCTCCCTTTCTTCGCGCTCTTTCTTTCTTCCGCTTCTCTTTTCGTCTCATTCTCGAGGGATGCCAAGCTTCTGAATTAAATCAACCGATAGTCTCTGTTCTTTCCGCGGATCTTCCTTCTGCAATTAGAATAAGCGGGAATTAAATTAGTTCCGATTTTGAGATCCGCGATAGCAACATCCGACAATTCTCGCTAGTATATATTCAAAATATATATCCCACATAGTACAGAACATTATAGAAAAATTTCTGCAATGTTGCAACATTGCCACAATATTGCTGCAATGTTCTATGCTATGTGGGATGTTATTATATCATCGAGTCGCTATATACGTAGCTATGTTGAATGTTCCGAAACGATGGTTGTTCATCACGTTTTACCAGTTATTCGACGAAAATTGAGTGATAAGAGCAGATAAATCGAAGGAGAGAACAGGAATAAAGAATGAAATGCGAATATCATTCAGGTTGAATCTTGAAGACATCACGTGTGTCGGAAAATCATTAATTACGCTTCAAAGTTCATTAGGTTTCACAGCACGTGCTGGCGGTTCGGTCAATCTTTCTTTGTCGTAAAATTATCGCTTGAACAGACACATGACAAATGATCCAGTTCCAGGAAGAACAGCCATAGATACGAAAGTGTTGCATTGCGCGACGCTTTGTATTGCATTTTCCATGTAAGATATTTGTCATGGAAATTAAGTACATAAATAACAAGTCAAGAGTAAACAATTTTTCCTCCGTAAAGTTTATCAGTGGATAAACGGTAACGCGTTCGCGAAAAAGGGCACGTGTGTTAGCCGATTTATACGTATCTTACCCAAAGTAAGGGACGACTCCGACTTGATTGGCCCGGAATTGATTCCGTGATGGATCTTCGTTTACGTCCTCTAGAAACAATAATAACATTATGTTCAAATTTGATCGAAAACAATTTAAATATATATAAACAAGAAAATTCGCGTTCAAATTATAAAAGTTTAATAATATACACATTTTGAAAATGTATAAAATATGTATTAAAAAAATATATATAGAGAAAAGTAGGGTAAAACCGGGTACTTTTTTAGATTTGTGTTCCTACAAAAAATCTGAGAGTAAAAAAAATTTTGCCGACCGTTAGTAGTCTTTAATGAACTTTAAACTATGAAAAAATAAGGCTAGTTGCTGAAAAAAAATTTTTGGTTACCAAGAATAACAAGATTTTGTGGAGAAGTCAAAGTACCCGGTTTTGTTCTACCGGTAAGATCAAACCGGGTAACCATTTGAAAATATGCAAAACACCGTGGAATTACAAAATCTAGATTTATTTTAATCAAAATACAATATAACGATGTATTTTATTGACAAAAATCACAAATAAAGGTATCCTCTTATTCGACATTGTTGCAGAACTTCCTTATTTAACTTTTTAACTTTAGAGGTCTCAAAAAGCTTTTTGTTTAGTTGTTTCTTTTTCTGAGTGTTAGTTTTCGTTTCCAACTGTTTTTTGTAGGGAGACAAAGTCAGGATAACAGTTCTTCCTTTTTTCATTACATGAGATGTGTAAGTACCTGGTTTTGCCCCAACACAAGGAAAGTAACAAATACGGCGGGTGTATATTCTGGCGTACAAAATGCTGATCAAAACTAATATGATATACTCTCTAATATGTACAGAATGCAATGCTGCATTTACCGAAACAGATGCTCTAAATAGAAAAAGTGCACGACGATTCGATTCTTGCCTCGATATCGATCTTTTTGGGGCTAAAAACTTTGAACTTCTATTAAAAAAGAAATATTGTGTGCACATAGGCACGGTTTGTTTTAAAATAATGATGGCGCTAATCTATAACTAATAACACAAGTTAGCCATAAATAGCAGCACTTATTACGAAAAAACAGGGGTACCCGGTTTGACCTGTATTTATATATATTTCTTTCCTTTTTCTTTTTTTTCTGTTTGGAAGAAGCAAACATTATCGTGAAGGTTCGCGCGATCACGCCGGGTGCTCGTGTGCCGAAAGAACAAGAAAGATGACGCCTTCCTATGCAATAATCGCGCAATCGCCGAGAATCTGCCTGGTTACTGTGACGATCCGACGTTTATCGCCGAAACAAATAAACGCGACAAGTCATGCAAATTATGACGCATTAATTTATTTATTGAAGCTTAATCAATTGTTTCCCCGATAATGTCGTCGTCGAGATGGAACGCGAAAGACGTGGGTTCTCTATTATTAATGAATAACTAGCGAGAAGAATTTATTTTTAATATTTAAGATACATGTTCCCCTGTATATTATATATCTATATTATTTATGCTACCATTTATGTGAATGTGTTACAATACATTACGTATACAACGCTCTACCGAACATATGCGATGAGAAGAGGGGAGAGGGAGGAGGGGGAAACAAATCAAATATCCGTTTATTAATTGAGGGACATACGATAGAATTACTCGATGTTCACATTTCGTGTTAATTACAATGTAGGATAGTGTGTCGGCGTCGACTAATTTACTCGTGAAAACAGTCACATCCGATTACGTGAGGTCGGGACCTTTTCAGAGGACGGCGAGTAAGAACACATCTAAATAGAAATTTATTCACGAAGCATTCAACGCGTGGAGTAACCTAGTTAGGGGTACCATCTTCGTTTTTTTCCACCTTTACTGGTTGTCTCGATGCAGTTATATGTTATTCAGTAGACGCCGTCGCATACGCGCTCGCGCAATTTGTATTCGAAAATACTTCATCTTCCTCCTCTTTCTATCAATTTTTTTTATACTGAGATCAATACGCGCGTAAGCGTATACCGATGTCATAAGAATAGAAACAAGAGATTATTATAAAATTATTTTAAAAAAAGTCTCTTATGCTATTGCACTGTTTTATATTACTCAGCGTGAAAATATTTCTCTAAGCATATTGTATATCCAAAGCGTCCTTCATTTTCCTCGCATTAGTTTCTCGATATGTCAGATTACGCGCAATTCTTTCTATATTATTCATTTTTTCTTTTTTTTTTTTAATTCGATGTTTTTTAGCTACATGATAAATGCAGAAGATATTTAAAACTTTGAAGATATAAAAAAAAACATATAGTTGCAGGCAATGAAATTTCTAACAGTTTCATTATTTCAAGTATAATATTTTGTCAATATTTACCTCATTGAAAATTTATATAACTCTATTTGATTCTTATCAAAGATCTCACCGTTTTATAAAATATATATCTGAATAATGAATAAAATTAAGACATAAAGTTAAATATATAATTATATGTTTATAATAATTATTTTATCGTATTTTGCGCTCAAGAGAATAGTATAGTATTTCGCATCAAGCGTATTCGCATAGTTCCGTAGTTAAGGAAGAGATATCATTTATCATAATTATGAATAACTTTTTCGCAATTGGCGTTTAATCGTATGTGTGTTACACCACAATAATAAAAGTTAAAGTACAATTTAAAAATTCTAAGACTGCATTGATAATATATTATCTATCCTTTCAAAATATGGAATATAAGCAATTACAATTATATAATATATATATAATTGTAATCGGTTGTGTGTGTGTGTGTGTGTATAAGCGATTACAGTTGGAAAAAATTAATGAACAAATAAATTGTAACATGACAATTATAGCAAAGAATGGAAGACGGACTTACACGACAGCTGGGTCGACTTTTCCGAATGCTATGGGAACCGCGACGCCCTTCACATTTCGCAGCCCCAAGATCGTCTCGAGCTCGGCGAGCCTCTGATCGGAAAGGCGTCTGTACCGACTGCAACAAATTAACAGATTACAAATTAATCAAATATTCTTATACCATCGAAGAGGGATATTATCAGCGTAGAGAAAAAAAGGAGCAGTAATTCTCTGCAGAATTTATTTTGTGCAAATCCCCTAACATAAGTCGTCAACAATTGGTTATACATATAACCAGCGACAGTTTTAATCTCTGTATGTGGCAAAAGATTCATATTGCTTTAATGCTAATCTTACGAGCATATGTGCAAAGCTTCGACTATGTTCAATAAACGCATTATCATCGCGTGGAAGTTTCAAAAAAGAGAGAAATTTGCTGCTTCATCTGAAGAGATTATTCGATTTGCATTATCATTATTCGATATTTAGATGGAAGGTGTGAAATTACATATTTTACAGTGAATTGCAATTATATCTCATTCAATAACGGTATTTAAAATATATATTACGTTATTTAAAATATTACAATATATTTTTATATATTTGTAATACATTTTTATATATATACGATATTTGAAAATAAATAAGAATAAATGAAATGAAAGCGACAATTTAAAAGCCAATAAATTTGGTAACGAGAGAAGAAACCGGTGTGGCGCAATAATTTCGCAAGTTGCCTCATAGCATCTTAAAAAGCGCGACTTCCTCCAGAAGAGGACACAATGTCTCAAAGGCCGCGGTTTTCTTTAAAAATCTGACTTGGTTTTCTTCAAATCCGTACCTAAGATGCCAATCGGGTGGCCTGATGTACGCCGTTTCCGACAGAAGTACTACGACTAGGACGCACAGGATTGTCGCGCAGACCGATAAATTCATCTTCGCACGCACTACAATCAATTTAAACTTTCGGGAGACGAAAGAAAAAAAAATGAACCGCCGCACAGCTGTTCGATCGCCAGACCACGATCTCCGAGTCACACACTTGTCGCTTTCTCTCTTCTTTTTACGCGTGACTCTTAAGATCCTCTTTAATAACTTCCTCTTTGACTCAATTTTTTTCTCTCCGATTCTTTTTCTTACGTCGCTTTTGTCTCCTGGTGAACTGTAGCTACTCGCGGCCGCATCGAGCATATATACTCGCGTTACCGCCCTCCCTATCCCCACCCCTCTAGTCGCTACGACTAGATCGCCCCCACTTCATAGGCGCGCGGATCCACCCTCGCTTTTTACGCGCGGTTTTTACCTGCATTCTAAATCCTTTTCTCCAGATACGCGATAGATCGACTCTTTCTGCTGTAACACAACTATATTTTTTGCATATCAAACTTGAATGTATCATTTAACATCGTCTTAAAATTATACGCGTCTAACATAGATTCTCTTCTTCTTTCGATCGATCATAAAATCGATAATATATGTACTTTTCGAATCTCAGTATCTTAGTAATTAAAATCTCGAAAAATCGATGTCGTCAAGTGCATCCGTCTCATGCTAGAACGAATATTTTCCAATTTATACATAGCAAAATCTTTGTGTTTCTTTGTATCCTTAAAATTGCCAGGCTTTATGATTAGCCGACAGACTCGAAGCAATATCTCGAGCACTTTGAAAGTAATTACGATACCGTGTATTAAAAAAAAAAACTTTAATTACTTTCTTTGTGTAATTATGCAAATTAGTTATATTACGCGGATCTACGTCATGCCTCGACATGCGCGCCCACATCGCGAGTGAATGAGAAGACAAAGGTTCTTTCTGCTTTCAGGATCCGTTATAGCTTTCTGAAGAGGTATGACGGAGACATAACGCTTCTTCTCTATTATTCCCGACAACGCAATATTTTTTTAACGATACACGTGAAGATGAGTGTGTGATAGAGGATTAATAAAAGCAACAAGGCTACCTCATAAAAAAAAGAACAATCGTGCAAGGAATCCCAATAATGCGTTTAATGATACAAGCAAATGTTTCTCTAATAGACTTTTATTCATTAAACTGTTCATTTTATAATACTTTCTTCCGCGTTTGTAGATTTAGAATCTTATTTTGCGAGACGCAAATAGCGACACTCAATAAAATCAACGCAGATACACTAGTATCGTCGTAATTTTTGTAATTGCTTCAATGTTTTCCGCTCTCTCTCTCTTTCTCTCTCTCTCTCCCCTCTCTCCCCCCCCCCCCCCCTCTCTCTCTCCTTCACGTTGTTGTTATTAATAATTCGCGCTTATATAAAAAAAATTATGTGGAGCGTTTTCTTCGAGAAGATTGTAGGAATGTTTCGTTTATTGAAGAACATTTCTGCATTTCTTTTGTATATATAACCAAACAATTTATATAATTTCGAAAATATTCGGATGCATGATAATCACGTGCCAAAAAGAAATGAATGATTATTGATATATTTAATTGATATGATATCAGTATGCGAAGAGTATTTTTCCGAAACGTAATATTTATCCCAATTCTTTACAACAGCACACTTTCTAATAGTAATATGAAGAAGACAAACAAAAATGTGATACTCTTAGAATTGTCCGAATAATAAACTGATAAACGCAGCGAAAAAATTATCAAGAAGTTCAAAAGTTTTTGGGGAACGTATTTATCTCAAAAACTTTTACAAAGTGGAATCAACATTTCCTGAAAAAAAAAACACTTCTCATATAATTATATTATTAGTAACGCATGAATTGTTTAAGTGGCAACAAAAAATTGTTCATTTGTAGATTGACATTTGTTTAACATTATAAAAAAATAATTATCTGATAAAATATCGATCTTTAAGATCTACACAAACAAGATTTCGAGTTGAATTACATTTCGTTGTATTTTGCCATTAAAATTCTAATTACGAAAGATTTGAATATTCTTATCGATGAGATCGTAGTAGCTTCAAAGAGATTTTTTTTACGTCGGCTTGTTTCATATACTCCCGTGCATATTGCGATTGAGACGCAAACTACGCTATTATGCTAGGGGAATACCTCCTAGATACTAGGAAATATGACAGGCGACTTATGTGATGGTTCATTTGTGTAATCTCCTGAGATCTGTTTGCAGACGCGCGGTTATCAACTTTGACTACTTTCGATGACTGTCAATCTATTTTTAATCCACCGCGCGTTAATATTACACATTTTCATATCTCACTCTTGATTATATATATGTACTAACTATTGAAACGATATATTACGTACTTCAACCGTGATTTGCGTAACGCATTTATATACACACATATCGGGACGCATTACGCAATACATTCGTTAAAAAAAACTATATACAGAGCATTTGTAAGAATATTAATTGGAGGGAAGGGAATAGAAACTGTAGGATATTTTTGTAGCGGCGACAAAGCTTCGCAAAATCTGTACAGCAATTTGTATATCATCGATCGTATTATAAATACGTCATCGAATTATCTCACCGAGTCACGTATTGTACTTCGTACAGATTTGTACTTGGAATTTTCGATTATTATCGCGATGAGACAAGGCAGTAAGCCCCAGGAGAGATAGCTGCTACGCAATTATACAACATCCGTTTATCCTACTTTTTTTTTTTACTAAATTTACTAGTGGATCGCCATACGTTACTTTATCAATTTATCGCGTTTGAATCACAAATACCAATGGGTGACGCACAAATTGATACTTATTAAGCGCGCTGATGACCGGTTATCAGAACAATGTCGCGTATCCTGATATATTTCACGCTAAAATCGATTATGAGTCGCCAAATATTTCGCGCCAAGCGTTAATGATTCTTCATAAATTACTCTCAAATTTATCTATCATCTATTATAAAATAGTACTTAATATCACGATAACCGCGATTCCCCATACCATAGCCATAGAAATCCTCAGCCGTGGAATTCGATATCAAGAGTATTGTACGCACTAATCGATTAATCTTATTGTACTTTTTCGTACATATACATATAAAAATAAGATCCCTCTAATGTTATCTTATCTAACATTAATTTCTTACAAATTAATTTAAATCGAGAAATTTAACAAAATTCTTTTTTTTCATATTTATTTTAAATTTAGCATTATATACACATATGTATATAAAGCCAAGATATCTTTTATAATTTACTTTCCAATAGAAATCAACTATATCGAGAATTTTCAGTCTCATCAACTATATCGACAATTTACATCTTTTGATAAAAGCAACAACGCGCGTCATGCGGTTGTATGTGTGCGTGAATCATTCTTGTATCCAAGATTCAATTATAAGAACGGGAATCAAATTAAAAAGAAAAAAAAAAAATTAATTTTTTTTATAGATAAAGAGAAAAAGTATTCTATTTTCATAAATAAATAATTGTGAGTTATTGATTGTAAGTGTTTGAAATATATCAGTGGCAACATCGTATAACGCACAGGATTGTCATACAAAAGATCTTTCCTCGTACATTTCGTAGCTTACTTTATTGTCATTACGTCTCTCCTTTTTCATGTTGCAATGAGTAAGCGGTTTATTTGTGTCAATGGAACGAAAAGAAATCACTGTCGCTGTCACCTGCGACGCAAATTTATACTTTGCCCAAATTTTTGTAAACATCTGCAAGATAATGCAGGCAAGATATACATATAATATTAGCTCGTGTACGACCTAGATTATTTTTTATGTGAATACAATTAATATTACACAAGTATATAACATTTTAGTCAAAAATCTTTTAGAGTGTTAGAGAATATATTGTAATAAGCACAACATGTGTTTTTATAGCAAGCGCTTTCTACTCATTTTCATAAAATTGGATGTTTTATTTTATGCAATGAAATCGTATTTGGTGAAAATATGAAAAAAGATTAGCAATTTTTGACAGTACACATTTTTGCAATTAAATCTTAAAAATTTAAAACAAAAATCTACTATAAAAATTAACTGCAGACTATAATTTTGTAATTTATTTGTGTTTCTTAAATGTAGCTTACAAATAATCTTTTTTTTAATTGCTTATAATTCGGAAACCGTATCTCAATATTTTCGTTAAAGAAAAATAAACTCAAAATTTGGCAGAAAATCTGTCATTAAAATTAAGATCGGGAGTTGTTGAAATATCCAGTGACACAATAGGTCATTAACGACTCTCTACATCAGACTTCTTTTTATATATTTATTGTCATATTATATTTTTATATAATGTATTTGTGTTGTGTCTTCTTACAAGGCTAAATATAATACAAAATATTTTTAAATTTTTCATCCTCTTTTACTTTAGTTGATGTGACACATTGATATATCATGTGATCAACATGAAGCAGACATATTATGTACATTGCCTGTTTGCGCGTATTACATTGTATATGCGCATTTAGTCACGTATCTCCCGAATTTTGAATCAGGTTTATAACTTGATATTTCAGTAGGAAAAATTCACATGTAATGTTTGGAATTGTTTGGCAAACATGAAAATCTTCGAATAGTTGCGCGTGTATCCGTCACACCTTATGCGGCGAAATTCGTAGGAACGCTTAATAAAAGATGTGAAACATCGTTTCGGCACTCGGGGGAAGGGGAGACGGCCTGTTTAAAGGGTGGATGTAGGCGTAGCGTGTTGAAATCAGAAATGTTGATACCCTCATATTTATACATTGCGTACAATTCACGTTGGCAGACGTGGGGGCTTCCATTTAATAACAAATTTATCATAAAATTAATAACTATTTGAATAAGTTAAGAAAAGATAGAATTATATTAGAATATTATTTTAATCGTAATCATGTATAGAATTAAATCCTCGAATAATCGACTAATAGAGTAAATGCATCATGTTATAATCTGTGTTATGTATATGTATAGCTCGTGTTATGAAATGTAATAAATTCATTGTGATAAGAACGACAGAAATTATGTTCAATTGTTCATTGCTTATCTTAAGAGTTAGAATAGTCTAATCAATAGATAGACAGATCGCTTAATCAATAGATAGTCTGATTAGCATTCAACGTAATGTCATATTTGATATCAGTGAAAGGATCGGAATCAGAAATCAAGAAGGAATTTCTGTCGTTTCAACGATAAATG